GTTGGGAGCGGCAGAGCCGGAGCCCCACGTTGGCCCTGCATTGGCCCCGCGTTGGCCCCGTGTCCCGCAGGGAGGCTTTGGCCCTCGTGGGAGAAGCCGCCGCTTTCCCTCCTCGAGCCCTCCTTGCAGCGGTTCCCCAGCAGTACCAGGGGCTCGGATGGGATGAGACCTTTGAAAAACGCACAGAGCCACCCCCAAAACTCTTTCCAAGGGAATCTGCCCAGGAGCAGCGCAGTGTCGCTTCCTTCCCCAGCCCTGAGCCGGAAATTCCTCCCTCCTCCATCAAGCGCTTATCCGCGGCGCCGCGAAGCCCTCGTTCCTCCCGGATCCGGGGTGTTTGTGTGCGCGCCGTGGGAGCGCACCGGGCACAGGGGAGCTGTCCTGGCCCGGTCTGGATGCGCCTGGGCCGCGCTCCAGTGAATAAAGAGCAGGAGGAGAAAGAGCAGGACTCGTGTTGGAGACGGGGAAAAACACCCCGAGCCAGGCTCCAAACTGGGAACAACCTTCCCGAGCTGCTGAACAAGCGGGAAGGAGCCCGGCTCCGTCCCGGAGTCGGGAAGGGAGCGGGAAGGAGCCCGGCTCGGTCCCGGAGTCAGGAAGCTGGCGCCTGCTGCCAAAGCCGCTTCCAAGCCCCCGTCTCCCAGCTCCGTGATCCGAGCCCTCGGGCTCGTGGATGCAGCCCGTGCTCGGAGCTCGGAACGCCCCCGCGTGCCGAGGCCCTGCGGGAAGGGCTAGAAGGGGAGTGCGCGGAGTTGTCCCGCTCTGGATTCGCCGTCACCCTCATGCGTTTGTGTTTCTTCCCCCTCCCGTTTAGAGATGGCATCGGATGTTTCCTCCCTGGCTGCAGCCGTGGGCTCGGGGAATCCTGGAGCGGGGCCGCCGGCCGGAGGAGCCGTCGTGCAGAGAGTCAACAAGCGGCGCCCGGGGGGGGCGGGGCTTGGGGGGCTTTGGGGGTTTTTGTGTGTGAAAAGTGGGGTTTTGCCAAAGCATCTTCTGCAGGAGGGGGGGGGGGGGGCCTCCCGTGTGAAAGGCCCTTGCCTGGTTCCTCCAGGACCTTCAGTGCCGGCCGGATCCCAT